GGAATTCTGGGAGTTGAAGTCCACACATCTTCAAGTGGCCAAGGTTGAGAAATACTGGACCAGACTGAGAAAATGAAGAAACGCCAAAGAAGCAATCTCCCTCTTTTGAAAAAGGAAATATTTTCTACTAATCAAAGAATGCAGCAATATGTGTTACTATGGCAGAGGTTCTGTGATACCTTACAATAATATTTTATATCGTGCATATTATAGTAATGAATTCATTGGTTAACAGTGACTATTGATACGTATAAAAATAAGTAAATCATTTTTTTCTTTTTTCTTTTCTTAGTTTGTGCTTTTCTTTTTTTTTTAAAGAACTTTTTTTCCTGCAGAGATTTTTTTGTTACAAAAAATAAAAGAAATTAAATTTTTAAAAAATCCAAGAAAGCAACATCAAAACACTTTCATCTCGCTGCCAAGAGATTGTCATGGACATGGCTATATAGTCACCAGATCAAGCTGGACTCTATCTTCATCCTGTCAAAGAGCCAGGAGCAAAGTTTCTGTCTAAAGCAAGGCAAAAATATGGAAAAGCAGGTCGCAGAAAGCTAAAACCCCAGACAGGGCAAAAGAATCTCGCCACCTTTAAATCATTGCTCAGGAATCACACACCCCTGGGCATTGAGAAATGAGGTTTCTCACCTGCTTCATCTTGGTGCCCGCCATGGAAGCGCTTCTGTCAAGGACAAAGACAATGTTCTTTGGCAGTGGAGGGAGATCTTTGGGCGCAAAATAGTGCACGAAATATCCATTCAAAACCTGGTGAGATAACAAAATGAGGAGAGAAAAATCAGGAATTTAATCCTACATGTACTGCCAAATCTTGAATATCAGCAAGTCCAGAATCTGGAATTCTAAATAGGCATTCAGCTGGAAACCTGCTTCTGATTGATGGATTACATGCCATCAAGTTGTTGTTGACTCTTAGCAACCACACAGGTAGATTTTCTCCACGATGATCTGTCCCTCCCCTGATCTGCTCCTGAGTTCTGCTCAAAAGGCAGCTGTTGGATTTATTTTAAGTAGGTGTTGGCAATCGTTTTGGGGCTCCCCCATGCTTCCCCAAATGGTGAGATTTTGCTATTCTCATAGGAAGTCACCAAAATGGGTCAAGATTTTGCAAGAGGGCAGGGGATCTTTTTTATTGATGGGGAAAGAAGCCAGCCTATTACTTGCAACCTACAGAGGGTGACCAGATATCTGAACAGGCAAAGGAGGACACGGACAATTAGAAAGAAGGACAAATGTGGCAGGGAGGACACACTAGCTGTTTAACTTCCTTGGCATCCATGACAAAAAGTAGGCTAGGGACAGATCTACTTTACTGAGATAAATTATAGTATCAGAATCTTGCAAGTTGGGCCATCTCTTCCCTTCCCTCCCTCCTATACCCCACTGAGTCAGGGGCGATCCAGCCTGAGCTTCTTCCTAGCCCTATCACCTTTCCCAGGGCTTAAGGAATGATTCTGCCCTAGTTATTTCTTAATGGATTCTGAATATTCCCTTCAAGGTCATCTCCATGGTTCTCTACAGTAGCACAGAAAAGAAGAAACATTTGTAAACCATCCCAGAAGATCTGATCACAACCACACTCCCCTTATTGGCACTTTCCCAGCCCTGCTCCTCAGTTCCAGATCCATGGAGTAGCTCTGATGGACCTGGGATGATGCAGTAATCTCAAGGTTGACGTTTTTCCCCTGAGGACCAAAATCAGGCCCAATATCACGGAGCAGCATCATGCCTGATTAAAACTCCTGGATGCTGTAGACATCTTTAAGGGCAGAAGGAGGAGGAGGTGGTTGCCCATTCCTGAGTTGTCTTTGTGTGGCATGAACTGGAAATACTTTAGGCATCAAGGAGGAGGAATCTACCCTGGGAGACCCCACAGAAATGAGCACGACCCCACAGAGCGATTTGCTGAGCCAACGGCTGGTGGAAAGGACGGCAGTTTTGAAGGAACAGACTAAGCTTGACCAAAGGGCTGGAATCTCAGAAGCCTCCAAAAGAGTTATTTTTCCTCCCTTCAATTCTCTTCCCTAGGACAGAAGCGAGCCCAAAAGTGAAAGTGGAGAAAAAGGTTGTGGGAGGGAGGGAGACAGATAAGACGCTGGAAAAAAAATCCAATTAAAATTCTCTGCATAGAACTGCATATGGAGGTTGTCAAACTAAGGCCGTTGATAAATATCACTCTTCTCCCCCACCCACCAAGAAGCACTTGGCAGAAGTTCCTGGCTCGAATTCATTTCAGTGAACATACAGCCAGTAATGAGATGAAGGACAGTCTCCAACCTACCTGGACCTCCCCGACACTCAGCTCTCTGTTGACATCATATCGGATGATAAAATCTCCTAGAATGCCGTTCCTCGCAATCTTGGCTTGCTGAACCAAATTGGGACTGAAGGTTACTTTAGCCAAAGTCTTTGTCTGGCCAACCACTGTTGAAGGTGGTGGAGTGGGGGGGTCTGTTGAGGAAGCAGAGCATTTTTTTTAGGATTGGTAAACTTCCAAGACTCATATTTGGTTTGTTCTGGATCTTATAGCAGCCTCTTTGCCCACCATTCCAGGTAACAGACAAAAGGAAGGACACCCCAAACTCCTAGATAATTACATGAACAGATCAGAACAGTTTTCCTGGCATCAATGCAGCAATGGAAATTGCTTTATTTCAGGGTGTTTTTCCTGGCCTGCAACCTTAGAATTTCATGGTAGTCTCCTATCCAGGTATTAACCTAACCTTGCTTACCTTCTAAACCAGTGTTTCTCAACCTTGGCAGCTTCCAGATTTGTGACCAACTCCCAGAATTCCCCAGCCAGTGTGAAATTTTGGGCGTGAAATTCAGACTGTGGATGCCAGCAAAGAGCTGGAGAACTTTGCTCTATTGTCATCCATCCACTAGGAAGCCATATCCAGCCAGAAGGTCTGATTGCTTTCTTCAATCCACTAGCCAGATCCACAACAGCTGTATGCAAAGTCATCCTATATGAATAACAAACTCCATCTCAGGGAATAGAGATCGTATGGAGAATAGTATTATCTCCATACAATAGACAGATAATACAATGCATGGAGATAATACAATGATATTATCTCTGTGCAACAGCAAAACTCCACCCTAAATGTGATAGAAAGAATCCAGGAGAAGTTGGCATGCTTTGTGTGCAGGAGATTTCGACTGCAGTAACAAGCTGGATGCATTCCAGTAGCTGCATTTACCCAGCATGCTAGTCTGGTTAGAGTAATCTTGGTTAGGGTTTTTTTTTTTTTTTTTGGTGGCTTAAAATGTTGAAGAAACCCAGACTTCTGAGTTAGTTGTGGTTCAGCACATTGGGCAAATCTAGAACATGGATTAATTCAGTAACTAGGTTAAATAAGTTATGAATGCCACCAATGTGGGGGGATGTTAGGATGGGAAATGGGGTGGGAAGGAAAAGGATGAAATGGTGTATGCTGGAACTCTGAACAAGGACACTCCAGTGCTGTAACATATATTGTGAGAACCTCACTTGTATTGTTAATTCTTGAACTTTACAGCAAACCAATTCATCATAAAGGTAATGTCTCCTTTGAGTCAAGATCAGTTTCTGATGACTACATGGCCCCAACCTGGCAACAATATGCAAGGGGTTTGCCAAAACCTTCAGGGATATTATTCTGATGTCCTAGTCTAATCTATAGCGGTCAAGAAATCTGTCACTTGGTAGAGCAGCCATGAAGGCCTTGTAAAGGATATTCAGATGCCATGATGTGTCTATAACTACAAAGATCAGAATCGTGCAAGCCGTGGTCTTCCCTGTGACCCTCTATGGAAGGAAGAGTAGGACTTTGAAGTAGGATTGGAAGAGTATTGATGCTTTTGAACTTTGGTGTTGGGGAAGACTCATGAGAATTGGTGGACAGCCAAGAAAACAAACAAATGGATCACCGAACTATCAACCCAGAGTTCTCACTTGAGGTGCAAATGACCAGGCTCAAATTATCCTACTTCAGACACATCATGAGAAGACCCAGCTCTCTGGAGAAGGGTCTAAGGCTGGGAAAGGTGGGAGGAAAGAGAAGAAGAGGATGACCTGGTGGATGGCCTCAGTTACAGCAGCAATGAGTCTGCTGTTGGAAGACCTGAAAGACCAGGTGAGAGACAGATCATCATGGAGAAAATCTATGTATGTGGTTGCTAGTAGTTGAAAACAACTTGAGGGCACATAATCAATCAATCAATCAATCAATCAATCAATCAATCAAAGTCTAACTAGAACTCTGGATTCCTGGAGGTCTCCCATCCAAATATAACTAGATCTGACCCTACTTAGCACTTTGAGAACAACCAAGGCTTGCTTGCTGCTGCTTTCTACTATATTATTAAGTTAATAAAAAAACAAAGGAAAGACAGGTGCCTCTTTTCCGGAGTAAGAAAAAATGCGTGGAAATGGGACGGCAGATTCTGGCCCAGTATTCAGCATGACAATATCTGGGGACCAGGGAACCTTGCTCAGTTCACGGGGCTGCTTTCTAAAGCCTGAGAAAGGGACATCCAGCTTGCATCCTAGTTCTGCCCTGAATCATTTAAACCCAAGGATGGTGTTTTCTGAGCAAAAAGATTGTGCTCCACCTTGAATTACAGAGCTGACCGCATGAAAAGGAACAAGGAAAATAAGCAGACAGGAAAATCCAGGCAGGCGGTGGAACCTCAGTGTATTATAGCAAACAGGAGGAGATCCAGCGCTTCAAAACAGCAAAACTTCCTAACTGGCTTGGCGTGGCTGGGTGGAAAAACTCAGCTCAAAATAACCTCATTCTCAGGGGAAAATGGGGAGGACTCAGGGAGCGCTATTCTCAGAAGCTGAAATACCGTTTTTCTTTTACTTTCTCATTTGCCTTCTTCTACCACCAAGAAGATCAAAGTGCATGCCTCTTGCTTCTTATTTGGACCTTGGATCAACAACCTGGCTTGCTAGGTCAAAAGGGGGGTTATGTTCACACAACCAACTTGACCTGATTACAGAAGTAACATTTTCAGGTTTCGTAACATACACTGGACTGTAATTAGCTTGTAGTTCAGTGCATTTGATGAAATCCGGCAATACTAATTCATGTTATTCAGGTTAAACAGGCTGGGTTGGCACAACACACCGAGCACTTGCACACACACACATGCTAACAAATGTTAAGTGTGTTGTGTGAACACAGCCAGAGAGTGAGCAAGGCTATAAATCCCACTGTCTAGCTCAGAAGTTGAATAAACCAATCTTCATCCAAAGATATCAGAGATCAGATTGTATTGCATACAAAATGGTCCTCAAATAATCATGCAATCCTAAAATAGAATAAAAATAGACCTGGAACTAGTCATAAAATAACACACAAAACAGTAAAATAAAAAAGGACAAATGAACAAGCTTAAAGTCTCCTCTCTTATAAATCGTTTTTTCCCTCCACAGGCATTTCACATTGGGGATGTGGAATGCAGATGTCATAGAAGTGAAACAGGATGGCAAAGGAATCTGTGTTGAAAAAGAACATTAGTTCTTATGGAAAACAAGCATAAAGATGCAGGTGTTGTTTTAAAATGTTACTTCAACAGGAAAAATGGTAAAAAAATGGTTTTGCATCGTGTTTGGCTTTGACAAAAAGGTTTCCGTAAGCCTTACAACATGCCGAGAAAAAGCTTAATCCAAGAATCAAGTTAGAAAGTGGTCTGTCTAGGTCAGTGTTTCTCAACCTTGGGAACTTTAAGATGTGTGGACTTCAACTCCCAGAATT